TCTGCCTCTCTGTCTCTCTCTCTGTCTCTGTCTCTGCCTCTGCCTCTGTCTCTGTCTCTGTCTCTGTCTCTGTCTCTGCCTCTGCCTCTGCCTCTGTCTCTGCCTCTGTCTCTGCCTCTGCCTCTGTCTCTGTCTCTGCCTCTCTGTCTCTCTCTCTGTCTCTGTCTCTGTCTCTGCCTCTGCCTCTGTCTCTGTCTCTGTCTCTGCCTCTGTCTCTGCCTCTGTCTCTGTCTCTGTCTCTGTCTCTGTCTCTGCCTCTGCCTCTGCCTCTGCCTCTGCCTCTGCCTCTGCCTCTGCTTCTGTCTCTGTCTCTGCCTCTGTCTCTGGCTCTGCCTCTGCCTCTGCCTCTGCCTCTGCCTCTGTCTCTGTCTCTGCCTCTGCCTCTGCCTCTGCCTCTGCCTCTGCCTCTGCCTCTGCCTCTGTCTCTGTCTATGTCTCTGCCTCTGCCTCTGCCTCTGCCTCTGCCTCTGCCTCTGTCTCTGTCTCTGCCTCTGCCTCTGCCTCTGCCTCTGCCTCTGCCTCTGTCTCTGTCTCTGCCTCTGCCTCTGCCTCTGCCTCTGCCTCTGTCTCTGTCTCTGTCTCTGCCTCTGTCTCTGTCTCTGCCTCTGCCTCTGCCTCTGCCTCTGCCTCTGCCTCTGCCTCTGCCTCTGTCTCTGTCTCTGCCTCTGCCTCTGCCTCTGCCTCTGCCTCTGTCTCTGTCTCTGCCTCTGCCTCTGCCTCTGCCTCTGCCTCTGCCTCTGCCTCTGCCTCTGCCTCTGCCTCTGCCTCTGTCTCTGTCTCTGCCTCTGTCTCTGTCTCTGCCTCTGCCTCTGCCTCTGCCTCTGCCTCTGCCTCTGCCTCTGCCTCTGCCTCTGTCTCTGCCTCTGCCTCTGTCTCTGTCTCTGTCTCTGCCTCTGCCTCTGTCTCTGTCTCTGCCTCTGCCTCTGTCTCTCTGTCTCTGTCTCGGCCTCTGCCTCTGCCTCTGCCTCTGTCTCTGCCTCTGCCTCTGCCTCTGCCTCTGTCTCTGTCTCTGCCTCTGCCTCTGTCTCTGTCTCTGCCTCTGCCTCTGCCTCTGCCTCTGTCTCTGTCTCTGCCTCTGTCTCTGTCTCTGCCTCTGTCTCTGTCTCTGTCTCTGCCTCTGTCTCTCCGTCTCTGTCTCTGCCTCTGCCTCTGCCTCTGCCTCTGTCTCTGTCTCTGTCTCTGCCTCTGCCTCTGTCTCTGTCTCTGTCTCTGCCTCTGCCTCTGTCTCTCCGTCTCTGTCTCTGTCTCTGCCTCTGCCTCTGCCTCTGCCTCTGTCTCTGTCTCTGTCTCTGTCTCTGCCTCTGCCTCTGCCTCTGCCTCTGTCTCTGCCTCTGCCTCTGTCTCTGCCTCTGTCTCTGTCTCTGTCTCTGTCTCTGCCTCTGCCTCTGCCTCTGCCTCTGTCTCTGTCTCTGTCTCTGCCTCTGCCTCTGTCTCTGTCTCTGTCTCTGTCTCTGCCTCTGTCTCTCTGTCTCTGCCTCTGCCTCTGTCTCTGCCTCTGTCTCTGTCTCTCTGTCTCTGCCTCTGCCTCTGTCTCTGTCTCTGCCCCTGTCTCTGCCTCTGCCTCTCTCTCTGCCTCTGTCTCTGTCTCTGCCTCTGTCTCTGTCTCTGCCTCTGCCTCTGCCTCTGCCTCTGCCTCTGTCTCTGCCTCTGTCTCTCTGTCTCTGCCTCTGCCTCTGCCTCTGTCTCTGTCTCTGCCTCTGCCTCTCTGTCTCTCTGTCTCTCTCTCTGTCTCTGTCTCTGTCTCTGGCTCTGCCTCTGCCTCTGTCTCTGTCTCTGTCTCTGTCTCTGTCTCTGCCTCTCTGTCTCTCTCTCTGTCTCTGTCTCTGCCTCTGCCTCTGTCTCTGTCTCTGTCTCTGTCTCTGTCTCTGCCTCTGCCTCTGCCTCTGTCTCTGCCTCTGTCTCTGCCTCTGCCTCTGTCTCTGTCTCTGCCTCTCTGTCTCTCTCTCTGTCTCTGTCTCTGTCTCTGCCTCTGCCTCTGTCTCTGTCTCTGTCTCTGCCTCTGTCTCTGCCTCTGTCTCTGTCTCTGTCTCTGCCTCTGTCTCTGCCTCTGCCTCTGCCTCTGCCTCTGCCTCTGCCTCTGCCTCTGCCTCTGCTTCTGTCTCTGTCTCTGCCTCTGTCTCTGGCTCTGCCTCTGCCTCTGCCTCTGCCTCTGCCTCTGTCTCTGTCTCTGCCTCTGCCTCTGCCTCTGCCTCTGCCTCTGCCTCTGCCTCTGCCTCTGTCTCTGTCTATGTCTCTGCCTCTGCCTCTGCCTCTGCCTCTGCCTCTGTCTCTGTCTCTGCCTCTGCCTCTGCCTCTGCCTCTGCCTCTGTCTCTGTCTCTGCCTCTGCCTCTGCCTCTGCCTCTGCCTCTGTCTCTGTCTCTGTCTCTGCCTCTGTCTCTGTCTCTGCCTCTGCCTCTGCCTCTGCCTCTGCCTCTGCCTCTGCCTCTGCCTCTGCCTCTGCCTCTGTCTCTGTCTCTGCCTCTGCCTCTGCCTCTGCCTCTGTCTCTGTCTCTGTCTCTGCCTCTGCCTCTGCCTCTGTCTCTGCCTCTGCCTCTGCCTCTGCCTCTGCCTCTGTCTCTGTCTCTGTCTCTGTCTCTCTGTCTCTGCCTCTGCCTCTGTCTCTGCCTCTGCCTCTGCCTCTGCCTCTGTCTCTGTCTCTGCCTCTGCCTCTGTCTCTGCCTCTGCCTCTGCCTCTGTCTCTGCCTCTGCCTCTGCCTCTGCCTCTGCCTCTGTCTCTGCCTCTGCCTCTGCCTCTGTCTCTGCCTCTGCCTCTGCCTCTGCCTCTGCCTCTGCCTCTGTCTCTGTCTCTGTCTCTGTCTCTGTCTCTGTCTCTCTGTCTCTGCCTCTGCCTCTGCCTCTGTCTCTGCCTCTGTCTCTGTCTCTGTCTCTGCCTCTGCCTCTGCCTCTGTCTCTCTGCCTCTGTCTCTGCCTCTGTCTCTGTCTCTGTCTCTGTCTCTGTCTCTCTGTCTCTGTCTCTGTCTCTGCCTCTGCCTCTGTCTCTCTGCCTCTGTCTCTGCCTCTGTCTCTGTCTCTCTGTCTCTGTCTCTGCCTCTGCCTCTGCCTCTGTCTCTCTGCCTCTGTCTCTGTCTCTGCCTCTGTCTCTGCCTCTGTCTCTGCCTCTGTCTCTGTCTCTGTCTCTCTGTCTCTGTCTCTGTCTCTGCCTCTGTCTCTGCCTCTGTCTCTGCCTCTGTCTCTGCCTCTGCCTCTGCCTCTGTCTCTGCCTCTGTCTCTGTCTCTGTCTCTGTCTCTCTGTCTCTGTCTCTGCCTCTGTCTCTGCCTCTGTCTCTGCCTCTGTCTCTGTCTCTGCCTCTGTCTCTCTGCCTCTGCCTCTGTCTCTGCCTCTGCCTCTGTCTCTGTCTCTGTCTCTCTGCCTCTGCCTCTGTCTCTGTCTCTGCCTCTGTCTCTGCCTCTGTCTCTGTCTCTGTCTCTCTGTCTCTGTCTCTCTGTCTCTGTCTCTGCCTCTGTCTCTGTCTCTGTCTCTGTCTCTGTCTCTGCCTCTTTCTCTGCCTCGGTCTCGGCCTCAGTGTCTCAGTCTCATTTGAAGGTCTCGGTCTCAGACTCAGGACCGTGTGGGATTAGAACCATCTGAGGAATGTCAGAATGTGTCCCTGATGCTGCATCTACACATGAATGTTTTATTATTGTACAGAGAGAGACCAGAGAGAGAGAGACCAGAGAGAGAGAGACCAGAGAGAGAGACCAGAGAGAGAGAGACCAGAGAGAGTCCAGAGAGAGAGTCCAGAGAGAGACCAGAGAGAGACCAGAGAGAGACCAGAGAGAGACCAGAGAGAGTCCAGAGAGAGACCAGAGAGAGACCAGAGAGAGACCAGAGAGAGTCCAGAGAGAGTCCAGAGAGAGTCCAGAGAGAGTCCAGAGAGAGTCCAGAGAGAGTCCAGAGAGAGTCCAGAGAGAGTCCAGAGAGAGTCCAGAGAGAGTCCAGAGAGAGTCCAGAGAGAGTCCAGAGAGAGTCCAGAGAGAGAGTCCAGAGAGAGACCAGAGAGAGACCAGAGAGAGACCAGAGAGAGAGTCCAGAGAGAGAGTCCAGAGAGAGAGTCCAGAGAGAGAGTCCAGAGAGAGAGTCCAGAGAGAGAGAGAGAGAGTCCAGAGAGAGAGTCCAGAGAGAGAGTCCAGAGAGAGAGTCCAGAGAGAGAGTCCAGAGAGAGACCAGAGAGAGACCAGAGAGAGACCAGAGAGAGACCAGAGAGAGACCAGAGAGAGACCAGAGAGAGACCAGAGAGAGACCAGAGAGAGACCAGAGAGAGACCAGAGAGAGACCAGAGAGAGACCAGAGAGAGACCAGAGAGAGACCAGAGAGAGACCAGAGAGAGAGACCAGAGAGAGACCAGAGAGAGAGACCAGAGAGAGACCAGAGAGAGACCAGAGAGAGAGTCCAGAGAGAGAGTCCAGAGAGAGAGTCCAGAGAGAGAGACCAGAGAGAGAGACCAGAGAGAGACCAGAGAGAGACCAGAGAGAGATCCAGAGAGAGAGTCCAGAGAGAGAGTCCAGAGAGAGAGTCCAGAGAGAGAGTCCAGAGAGAGAGTCCAGAGAGAGAGTCCAGAGAGAGAGTCCAGAGAGAGAGTCCAGAGAGAGACCAGAGAGAGACCAGAGAGAGACCAGAGAGAGACCAGAGAGAGACCAGAGAGAGACCAGAGAGAGACCAGAGAGAGACCAGAGAGAGACCAGAGAGAGACCAGAGAGAGACCAGAGAGAGACCAGAGAGAGACCAGAGAGAGACCAGAGAGAGACCAGAGAGAGAGACCAGAGAGAGACCAGAGAGAGAGACCAGAGAGAGACCAGAGAGAGACCAGAGAGAGAGTCCAGAGAGAGAGTCCAGAGAGAGAGTCCAGAGAGAGAGTCCAGAGAGAGACCAGAGAGAGACCAGAGAGAGACCAGAGAGAGACCAGAGAGAGACCAGAGAGAGACCAGAGAGAGACCAGAGAGAGAGACCAGAGAGAGACCAGTGTAAACAGGGTGATGTTGTGACCTGTGTGTGTCTGTTGTCTGCAGCCGCTCGGGGGAGATGAACGGTTATGGTGCGGCCCTTCGGTACCAGTACATCAACACGTCTGTGCCCACGCACTACCAGCTGCTGCCTCACCTCTTCAGCTACGCAGCTCAGTCCGGCCAGATCACCCCCCAACTCACCCCCCAACTCACCCCCCAGCTCACCCCCCAGCCCAGCGGGGTCTACCCCCAGTCCCACCCCCTGGTGCTGCAGCTGGTGGCAGCCGAGGACCTCAGCCCCCTGGCCACGCCCATGCTCATCGAGGACGGGTCAGTACCAATGCTCAGGCTGGTCTGGTTCAGGCCAGGTTCTGAGCTTTACAAGTACAGCATGACTGTTGGTGATGCTGAAGTTGGCTGGATGACCCTGTGAAAGTACCTCAATAGTTACTTTAACATTGTTTCCAACAGCTCTATTCAGCTCGATCATGTATCTAGTATGTACCAGGTGACCCGGGGGGAGAGGGCCCTATCAAGGACTGTTGTGCAGGTACCAGGTGACCCAGAGTAACTATGGCTGTTGTAAGAGGTACCAGGTGACCCAGAGTAACTATGGCTGTTGTAAGAGGTACCAGGTGACCCAGAGTAACTATGGCTGTTGTAAGAGGCACCTGGTGACCCAGAGTAACTAGGACTGATTAAGCAGATACCATGTGACCCTCTAACCGTGTGTGTGCGCAGGTACCATGTGACCCTCTAACGTGTGTGTGTGTGTGTGCAGGTACCATGTGACCCTCTGACATGTGTGTGTGTGCAGGTACCAGGTGACCCTCTAACGTGTGTGTGTGTGCAGGTACCATGTGACCCTCTAATGTGTGTGTGTGTATGCAGGTACCAGGTGACCCTCTAACGTGTGTGTGTGTGCAGGTACCATGTGACCCTCTAACGTGTGTGTGTGTGCAGGTACCAGGTGACCCTCTAACGTGTGTGTGTGTGCAGGTACCATGTGACCCTCTAACGTGTGTGTGTGTGCAGGTACCATGTGACCCTCTAACGTGTGTGTGTGTGCAGGTACCATGTGACCCTCTGATGTGTGTGTGTGCAGGTACCAGGTGACCCTCTAACGTGTGTGTGTGTGCAGGTACCATGTGACCCTCTAACGTGTGTGTGTGTGTATGCAGGTACCAGGTGACCCTCTAACGTGTGTGTGTGTGCAGGTACCATGTGACCCTCTAACGTGTGTGTGTGTGCAGGTACCATGTGACCCTCTGATGTGTGTGTGTGTGCAGGTACCAGGTGACCCTCTAACGTGTGTGTGTGTGCAGGTACCATGTGACCCTCTAACGTGTGTGTGTGTGTATGCAGGTACCAGGTGACCCTCTAACGTGTGTGTGTGTGCAGGTACCATGTGACCCTCTAACGTGTGTGTGTGTGCAGGTACCATGTGACCCTCTAACGTGTGTGTGTGTGCAGGTACCATGTGACCCTCTAACGTGTGTGTGTGTGCAGGTACCATGTGACCCTCTAACGTGTGTGTGTGTATGCAGGTACCAGGTGACCCTCTAACGTGTGTGTGTGTGCAGGTACCATGTGACCCTCTAACGTGTGTGTGTGTGCAGGTACCATGTGACCCTCTAACGTGTGTGTGTGTGTGTGTATGCAGGTACCATGTGACCCTCTGATGTGTGTGTGTGTGTGCAGGTACCAGGTGACCCTCTAACGTGTGTGTGTGTGTGTGCAGGTACCATGTGACCCTCTGACGTGTGTGTGTGTGTGCAGGTACCATGTGACCCTCTGACATGTGTGTGTGTGTGCAGGTACCATGTGACCCTCTAACGTGTGTGTGTGTGCAGGTACCATGTGACCCTCTGACATGTGTGTGTGTGCAGGTACCATGTGACCCTCTGACATGTGTGTGTGTGCAGGTACCAGGTGACCCTCTGACATGTGTGTGTGTGCAGGTACCATGTGACCCTCTGACATGTGTGTGTGTGTGCAGGTACCAGGTGAGCCAGGTGGAGCTGTTCGCCCTGCTGTGCCGGTTGGCGGACGAGCTGCTGTTCCGTCAGATCTCGTGGATTAAGAAGCTGCCGTTCTTCTGCGACCTGTCCATCGAGGATTACACGTGTCTGCTCAGCTCCACGTGGCAGGAGCTCATCCTGCTCTCCTGCCTCACCATCTACAGCAGCCACATATTTGGGGAGCTCGCCGAGGTCACCGCCAAGTACACGCCCAGCGACGAGGAGCTGCAGGGGTGAGTCCAGTCGTCTGTAGTCTGATGTAATCTGATGTAATCTGATGTAATATAATCCACTGTAATCTGTTGTAGTCTACTGTAATCTACTGTAATATAATCTGCTGTACTCCACTGGAATCTGATGTAATCTACAGCAGATAACGGTAGATTACAGTAGATTACAGTAATCTACTCTACTGGAATCTACTCTACTGTACTGTACTTTACTCTGGTTCTTGGTCCAAAAGTGGGTCTTGGTTCTCTGTTTTGGACCAGTCTAGTTCAGCCGCTGTGGACTTCTGAATGCACTCGTGGGGCTTGTGCAGCTGATGCACAAATGTTTTTTCACATTTTCCCCGCGGCCATTTTGAAGCTGCCACAGACGGTGAAAGTGATGTCACATGACTTTGAGCCGTGCAGACAGGCCTGAGTCTGTAAGATCCAGTCTGTGGCAGGACCCAGGCCTGAGTCTGTAAGATCCAGTCTGTGGCAGGACCCAGGCCTGAGTCTGTAAGATCCAGTCTGTGGCAGGACCCAGGCCTGAGTCTGTGAGATCCAGTCTGTGGCAGGACCCAGGCCTGAGTCTGTAAGATCCAGTCTGTGGCAGGACCCAGGCCTGAGTCTGTAAGATCCAGTCTGTGGCAGGACCCAGGCCTGAGTCTGTGAGATCCAGTCTGTGGCAGGGCCCAGGCCTGAGTCTGTAAGATCCAGTCTGTGGCAGGACCCAGGCCTGAGTCTGTGAGATCCAGTCTGTGGCAGGACCCAGGCCTGAGTCTGTGAGATCCAGTCTGTGGCAGGACCCAGGCCTGAGTCTGTAAGATCCAGTCTGTGGCAGGACCCAGGCCTGAGTCTGTAAGATCCAGTCTGTGGCAGGACCCAGGCCTGAGTCTGTGAGATCCAGTCTGTGGCAGGACCCAGGCCTGAGTCTGTAAGATCCAGTCTGTGGCAGGACCCAGGCCTGAGTCTGTGAGATCCAGTCTGTGGCAGGACCCAGGCCTGAGTCTGTAAGATCCAGTCTGTGGCAGGACCCAGGCCTGAGTCTGTGAGATCCAGTCTGTGGCAGGACCCAGGCCTGAGTCTGTAAGATCCAGTCTGTGGCAGGACCCAGGCCTGAGTCTGTGAGATCCAGTCTGTGGCAGGACCCAGGCCTGAGTCTGTAAGATCCAGTCTGTGGCAGGACCCAGGCCTGAGTCTGTGAGATCCAGTCTGTGGCAGGACCCAGGCCTGAGTCTGTAAGATCCAGTCTGTGGCAGGACCCAGGCCTGAGTCTGTGAGATCCAGTCTGTGGCAGGACCCAGGCCTGAGTCTGTAAGATCCAGTCTGTGGCAGGACCCAGGCCTGAGTCTGTAAGATCCAGTCTGTGGCAGGACCCAGGCCTGAGTCTGTAAGATCCAGTCTGTGGCAGGACCCAGGCCTGAGTCTGTAAGATCCAGTCTGTGGCAGGACCCAGGCCTGAGTCTGTGAGATCCAGTCTGTGGCAGGACCCAGGCCTGAGTCTGTAAGATCCAGTCTGTGGCAGGACCCAGGCCTGAGTCTGTAAGATCCAGTCTGTGGCAGGACCCAGGCCTGAGTCTGTGAGATCCAGTCTGTGGCAGGACCCAGGCCTGAGTCTGTAAGATCCAGTCTGTGGCAGGACCCAGGCCTGAGTCTGTAAGATCCAGTCTGTGGCAGGACCCAGGCCTGAGTCTGTAAGATCCAGTCTGTGGCAGGACCCAGGCCTGAGTCTGTAAGATCCAGTCTGTGGCAGGACCCAGGCCTGAGTCTGTAAGATCCAGTCTGTGGCAGGACCCAGGCCTGAGTCTGTAAGATCCAGTCTGTGGCAGGACCCAGGCCTGAGTCTGTAAGATCCAGTCTGTGGCAGGACCCAGGCCTGAGTCTGTAAGATCCAGTCTGTGGCAGGACCCAGGCCTGAGTCTGTAAGATCCAGTCTGTGGCAGGACCCAGGCCTGAGTCTGTGAGATCCAGTCTGTGGCAGGACCCAGGCCTGAGTCTGTGAGATCCAGTCTGTGGCAGGACCCAGGCCTGAGTCTGTGAGATCCAGTCTGTGGCAGGACCCAGGCCTGAGTCTGTGAGATCCAGTCTGTGGCAGGACCCAGGCCTGAGTCTGTGAGATCCAGTCTGTGGCAGGACCCAGGCTGATTTAGCTTCTGTCGGGTCCGACCTAAAGACGCTGCTTTTGAAGAGAATTATGAGTTGATGAGGTCTTGAACACATCCGTCAGAGACCATAAACGTCCCCCTGATGCCTCCCTCCCTGGTCCCCCCTCCCTGGTCTCCCCTCCCTGGTCCTCTCTCTCTGGTCCTCCCTTCCTGGTTCTGCTCGGGCAGCGGAGCAGAGCAACTGCAGAGGAGCTCCTCACTATCTCTGAGCTGAATGTTGTGTTTTTAATCGTGGCTGATTCACGGCTCATACCATGGTGGCACGGTGGCTGAGTGGTTAGCACTCTCGCCTCCCAGCAAAGAGGTCCTGGGTTTGAATCCCGGTCGGAACAGGGCATTTCTGAGTGGAGTTTGCATGTTCTCCCCTGTGTCTGTGTAGGTTTGGGTTTCCCCTACCACTAAAATCATGTCCAATAGTTCTGTGCCTCCTGCACTGGCCCCTCCCATCTCTGTGTGGGGTCAGGGACTAATGTAACAGCTGTGAACCAGTCTGTGACTCTGTCTGAGAGAGGCGGTATATAAATAAAGACCATGTGTCACATACATGTGTCACATACATGTGTCACATACATGTGTCACATACATGTGTCTCATACATGTGTCACATACATGTGTCACATACATGTGTCACATACATGTGTCTCATACATGTGTCACATACATGTGTCTCATACATGTGTCACATACATGTGTCACATACATGTGTCACATACATGTGTCACATACATGTGTCTCATACATGTGTCACATACATGTGTCACATACATGTGTCACATACATGTGTCACATACATGTGTCACATACATGTGTCTCATACATGTGTCTCATACATGTGTCTCATACATGTGTCTCATACATGTGTCACATACATGTGTCACATACATGTGTCTCATACATGTGTCTCATACATGTGTCACATACATGTGTCTCATACATGTGTCACATACATGTGTCACATACATGTGTCTCATACATGTGTCACATACATGTGTGTCACATACATGTGTCACATACATGTGTCTCATACATGTGTCACATACATGTGTACATACATGTGTCTCATACATGTGTCACCATACATGTGTCCATACAGTTCTCATGTGTCTCATACATGTGTCACATACATGTGTCTCATACATGTGTCACATACATGTGTCTCATACATGTGTCACATACATGTGTCACATACATGTGTCACATACATGTGTCACATACATGTGTCTCATACATGTGTCACATACATGTGTCTCATACATGTGTCACATACATGTGTCACATACATGTGTCTCATACATGTGTCACATACATGTGTCACATACATGTGTCACATACATGTGTCACATACATGTGTCACATACATGTGTCTCATACATGTGTCTCATACATGTGTCTCATACATGTGTCACATACATGTGTCTCATACATGTGTCTCATACATGTGTCACATACATGTGTCTCATACATGTGTCACATACATGTGTCACATACATGTGTCTCATACATGTGTCTCATACATGTGTCACATACATGTGTCACATACATGTGTCTCATACATGTGTCACATACATGTGTCACATACATGTGTCACATACATGTGTCTCATACATGTGTCTCATACATGTGTCACATACATGTGTCTCATACATGTGTCACATACATGTGTCTCATACATGTGTCACATACATGTGTCTCATACATGTGTCTCATACATGTGTCTCATACATGTGTCTCATACATGTGTCTCATACATGTGTCACATACATGTGTCACATACATGTGTCACATACATGTGTCACATACATGTGTCACATACATGTGTCTCATACATGTGTCTCATACATGTGTCACATACATGTGTCTCATACATGTGTCACATACATGTGTCACATACATGTGTCACATACATGTGTCTCATACATGTGTCTCATACATGTGTCTCATACATGTGTCTCATACATGTGTCACATACATGTGTCACATACATGTGTCACATACATGTGTCTCATACATGTGTCACATACATGTGTCTCATACATGTGTCACATACATGTGTCACATACATGTGTCACATACATGTGTCTCATACATGTGTCTCATACATGTGTCTCATACATGTGTCACATACATGTGTCTCATACATGTGTCTCATACATGTGTCACATACATGTGTCACATACATGTGTCTCATACATGTGTCACATACATGTGTCACATACATGTGTCACATACATGTGTCACATACATGTGTCACATACATGTGTCACATACATGTGTCACATACATGTGTCACATACATGTGTCTCCGCAGCTTCAGTGAAGATGGTATGGAGGTCATGGAGCGGCTCATCTATTTGTACCGAAAATTCCACCAGCTCAAGATCAGCAACGAGGAGTACGCCTGCATGAAGGCCATCAACTTCCTGAACCAGGGTGAGACCAGAGGGAGACCAGAGAGAGACCAGAGAGAGACCAGAGAGAGACCAGAGAGAGACCAGAGAGAGACCTGAGAGAGAGACCTGAGAGAGAGACCAGAGAGAGAGACCAGAGAGAGACCAGAGAGAGACCAGAGAGAGACCAGAGAGAGAGACCAGAGAGAGAGACCAGAGAGAGAGACCAGAGAGAGAGACCAGAGAGAGAGACCAGAGAGAGAGAGACCAGAGAGAGAGAGACCAGAGAGAGGGAGACCAGAGAGAGGGAGACCAGAGAGAGAGAGACCAGAGAGAGAGAGACCAGAGAGAGAGAGACCAGAGAGAGAGAGACCAGAGAGAGAGACACCAGAGAGAGAGACACCAGAGAGAGACACCAGAGAGAGAGACCAGAGAGAGAGACCAGAGAGAGAGACCAGAGAGACACCAGAGAGAGACACCAGAGAGAGACACCAGAGAGAGAGACCAGAGAGAGAGACCAGAGAGAGAGACCAGAGAGAGAGACCAGAGAGAGAGACCAGAGAGAGAGACCAGAGAGAGAGAGACCAGAGATTATAAAAGAAAACCTCTTAATCCTTGAGCCCCTGAGCACAGGTCACCTGTGTTTGAGGTCTTCTTTAGCTGTGGTAGTGAGGACAACCTCTGACCCCTGTCTCTGACCTCTGACCCCTGCCTCTGACCCCTATCTCTGACCCCTGTCTCTGACCCCTATCTCTGACCCATGTCTCTGACCTCTGACCCCTGCCTCTGACCCCTATCTCTGACCTCTGACCCCTGTCTCTGACTCCTATCTCTAACCTCTGACCCCTGTCTCTGAACTCTGACCTCTGACCCCTGTCTCTGACCTCTGACCCCTGTCTCTGAACTCTGACCCCTGTCTCTGACTCCTATCTCTGACCTCTGACCCCTGTCTCTGAACTCTGACCCCTGTCTCTGACCTCTGACCCCTGTCTCTGCAGATATCCGGGGTCTGTCCAACGTGTCGCAGCTGGAGCAGCTGAACAAGCGTTACTGGTACGTTTGTCAGGACTACACCGAGTTCAAGTACGCTCACCAACCCAAACGCTTCCCCGAGATCATGATGTGTCTGCCCGAGATACGCTGCATCGCAGGTGAGTGCTCTCTCTCTGGTCTCTCTCTCTGGTCTCTCTCTCTGGTCTCTCTCTCTGGTCTCTCTCTGGTCTCTCTCTGGTCTCTCTCTGGTCTCTCTCTGGTCTCTCTCTCTGGTCTCTCTCTCTGGTCTCTCTCTCTGGTCTCTCTCTCTGGTCTCTCTCTGGTCTCTCTCTGGTCTCTCTCTGGTCTCTCTCTGGTCTCTCTCTCTGGTCTCTCTCTCTGGTCTCTCTCTGGTCTCTCTCTGGTCTCTCTCTGGTCTCTCTCTTTGGATGTAACCTCCTCCTTCTGATCTGCTCTTTCCTCAAGACCTGACTTTGACAAACCCTGAATCCGAGTAGACTCTTAACCGGACTCTAACGGATTCTAACCGGTCTCTAACCGGTCTCTAACCGGTCTCTAACCGGACTCTAACCGGACTCTAACCGGACTCTAACCGGACTCTAACCGGTCTCTAACCGGTCTCTAACCGGTCTCTAACCGGTCTCTAACCGGTCTCTAACCGGTCTCTAACCGGTCTCTAACCGGTCTCTAACTCATGTGTGTTGCAGGAAAGCTGGTGAACGTCCCGTTGGAACAGCTCCCCCTGCTGTTCAAAGCGGTACTGCACTCCTGCAAAACCAGCCTGAACAACTACAGGAGCAGCCAGTCCCCGTGTGTGACCTCTGCCCCAGGAAACTAACCCCGCCCCCTGCCCCCCCTATACCCCCCCCCCCCCCCCCCCCCCACCACTGAACAAGGGAGGGCCCGGTCTCTCTCTTTGTGAATGTGACAAGCAGCTAGAGTTTGTTTTTTGTACCTTTTTTTCTTGCTATATTTATTACTCGACAGAGCTGAATGTATTGATCCACTGCACATGGTTCTGTACCAGGAACGCACCAGATGCAGTTTACCGCTGCTTCACGGTGTCATTGTTAGAGCTTAGAGTTTATTTTCCCGCCGGCGAGTGTTTGGAGACGTCCTCAGGACGAGTCCTCGGAACAACTGAATGTGGAGAAAGAAGTTTAAAGTTGGAGAAAGAAGTTTAAAGTTGGAGAAAGAAGTTTAAAGTTGGAGAAAGAAGTTTAAAGTTGGACAGTGCCCTAAAGAGTTTCTATCGTCCATAAAGATTTTATCGTGGAACATTCCAGACTTTAGCGACGGCTGGATCTGTGGATCTTGGAGTTTACGGGTATTTTTAACAATCATAGGTCGGGGTTTTACGGCGGGGGCCGGCTCAGTTTGAGGCCTGGTTAGAGCTCAGACTCTAACTTCTATCAAAGCTCATTCAAACTGAGCCCTCCCTTTAGCCCCAGGGGAGGGAGGATAGCTAGGTTAGCTAGGTTAGCTGTTAGCTTTATCTGACCCAAGTGTTATGCAAATGAACGCCCATAAAAGGGCAATGAGATAATTGATAAGACAATGTGTCTCGTCCGCAAAGATCAGGACTCGAGACGAACCATGTGCTGAAGAAGGGCCTCTGCGGCACCGACATGGCCAGATGTTTCTGCTGCTAATCGTGCACACACTGATGCACGAGTGAGACCATCAGGCGAGCTGCTGCTGCGGCTGCTGCGGCGTGTGCGAGGCCCTAGAGCAGTCTATTGCACAGTCCAAACTCTGATCTGCACATGTTTGAGACAAAGCCGTATGAAATTGGGCTTTTTTAATTTTTGAAGATCACGATTTCTGACGCCGTCAGACCGTGGCGTGCGAGGGTTTGCACCCGGCACCAACGGCTGCGGCGTCTAAACAGGGTAACGATCCGGGAGTACTTCACACCCATGTACTGTAGTATTAGTAGTAGTAGTGCCAGGACATCGTAGGTCCTTCATAGACAAGTGTTTTTCTTTATTTTTTCTCCCTCAACCCCCCCCCTTCCCCCTCTGCAGGTCACATGGTCCTACAGTCTGCAGGTCACATGGTCCTACAGTCTGATGGTCACATGGTCCTACAGTCTGATGGTCACATGGTCCTACAGTCTGATGGTCACATGGTCCTGGAGTCCGCACCATGTGAGCGCCGACTCGTCCTTAAACTTGTCCTTTTTACTTTTATAACGTGTCATGATGTAGTTTTGGTGAATGTTCTTTTTTCTTATTTTGTTGTGTTCTCACTGTTTTATTCACTGTGGTTCACTTTGACTCACTGTGGTTCACTTTGACTCACTGTGGTTCACTTTGACTCACTGTGGTTCACTTTGACTCACTGTGGTTCACTTTGACTCACTGTGGTTCACTTTGACTCACTGTGGTTCACTGTGACTCACTGTGGTTCACTTTGACTCACTGTGTTTCACTGTGACTCACTGTGGTTCACTTTGACTCACTGTGGTTCACTTTGACTCACTGTGGTTCACTGTGACTCACTGTGGTTCACTTTGACTCACTGTGGTTCACTTTGACTCACTGTGGTTCCCTTTGACTCACTGTGGTTCACTTTGACTCACTGTGTTTCACTTTGACTCACTGTGGTTCACTTTGACTCACTGTGGTTCACTTTGACTCACTGTGGTTCACTGTGGCTCACTTTGACTCACTGTGGTTCACTTTGACTCACTGTGGTTCACTTTGACTCACTGTGGTTCACTGTGCTCACTTTGACTCACTGTGGTTCACTTTGACTCACTGTGGTTCACTTTGACTCACTGTGGCTCACTTTGACTCACTGTGGTTCACTTTGACTCACTGTGGTTCACTTTGACTCACTGTGGTTCACTGTGGCTCACTTTGACTCACTGTGGTTCACTGTCGTTCACTTTGACTCACTGTGGTTCACTTTGACTCACTGTGGTTCACTGTGGTTCACTTTGACTCACTGTGGTTCACTGTGGTTCACTTTGACTCACTGTGGTTCACTGTGGTTCACTTTGACTCACTGTGGTTCATCCAACTCTAGATTCTCAGGGATAGATGTAGACGCCAAAGGTTTCTGTGTTTATGAGAAAAACCCTCACAGGTCCTCACAGGTCCTCACTCAGGTCCTCACTCAGGTCCTCACAGGTCCTCTCAGGTCCTCACAGGTCCTCACTCAGGTCCTCACTCAGGTCCTCTCAGGTCCTCACAGGTCCTCACAGGTCCTCTCAGGTCCTCACAGGTCCTCTCAGGTCCTCTCAGGTCCTCACAGGTCCTCACTCAGGTCCTCTCAGGTCCTCACAGGTCCTCACAGGTCACAGCTGAACAAACCAAAGACAAAAACTGACAATAAGTCACTTTACATTTAGCAACTCACTGTTCTACCCTACTACTCTACTCTACTCTACTCTACTCTACTCTACTCTACTCTACTCTACTCTACTCTACTCTACTCTACTCTACTCTACCCTACCCTACCCTACTCTACTCTACCCCCCCTCTACTCTACCCTACCCTACCCTACTCTACTCTACTCTACCCCCCTCTACTCTACCCTATTCTACTCTACCCTACTCTACTCTACTCTACTCTACCCTACCCTACCCTACCCTACTCTACTCTACCCCCCTCTACTCTACCCTACCCTACTCTACCCTACCCTACCCTACTCTACTCTACCCCCCTCTACTCTACCCTACCCTACCCTACTCTACTCTACTCTACCCTACCCTACCCTACCCTACCCTACTCTACCCCCCTCTACTCTACCCTACCCTACCCTACTGTACCCCCCTCTACTCTACCCTACTCTACCCTACTCTACTCTACCCTACCCTACCCTACACTACTCTACTCTACCCCCCTCTACTCTACTCTACCCTACCCTACCCTACTCTACTCTACTCTACTCTACTCTACCCCCCTCTACCTCTACCCTACCCTACTCTACTCTACTCTACTCTACCCCCCTCTACTCTACTCTACCCTACTCTACTCTACCCTACCCTACCCTACTCTACTCTACTCTACCCTACCCTACCCTACTCTACTCTACCCCCCTCTACTCTACCCTACTCTACTCTACCCTACTCTACCCTACTCTACCCTACCCTACTCTACCCTACTCTACTCTACCCTACTCTACCCTACCCTACTCTACCCTACCCTACCCTACCCTACTCTACCCTACTCTACCCTACTCTACTCTACTCTACCCTACTCTACTCTACCCTACCCTACTCTACTCTACTCTACTCTACTCTACCCTACTCTACCCTACTCTACCCTACCCTACTCTACCCCCCTCTACTCTACCCTACCCTACTCTACTCTACCCTACCCTACTCTACTCTACTCTACTCTACCCCCCTCTACTCTACTCTACCCTACCCTACCCTACTCTACCCTACTCTACTCTACCCTACCCTACTCTACTCTACTCTACTCTACCCTACCCTACCCTACTCTACCCTACCCTACTCTACTCTACCCCCCTCTACTCTACCCTACCCTACTCTACTCTACCCTACCCTACCCTACTCTACCCTACCCTACTCTACTCTACCCCCCTCTACTCTACCCTACCCTACTCTACTCTACTCTACCCTACCCTACCCTACTCTACTCTACCCTACTCTACTCTACTCTACCCTACTCTAGGTTGCAGATGTTTAGACTCGGAGAGAACATTCCAGAGTTGGATGTGGATCAGAGGCTGTGGTGGATCTGAGGGTTTTTCTCCTGTTTTTCCTGTGAATGTTTGGATCAAAGCAAAGCGCCTGAACCTTTCAAAGTGTTCTTCTTTTTCTTGGATATTTTTTGTACTTGTGGTTTTTGCAAACGAGGGATTTGTCAAACTCTGAAACTACCTCTTTATTGGTTCTTTATGTTGATAACTTTACAAATAGATGTTTTTGTCTCGTATCTTTGTCTCCGCCTCTTTTTTCACATTATCCACAACTTCAGTATGTTCTTAGTAGTATGTTTAGTATGTGAAAGAACGCTGTAGACCCAGGACCGAGGCTGTAGACCCAGGACTGAGGCTGTAGACCCAGGACTGAGGCTGTAGACCCAGGACTGAGGCTGTAGACCCAGGACCGAGGCTGTAGACCCAGGACTGAGGCTGTAGACCCAGGACTGAGGCTCTAGACCCAGGACTGAGACTGTAGACCCAGGACTGAGGCTGTAGACCCAGGACTGAGGCTGTAGACCCAGGACTGAGACTGTAGACCCAGGACTGAGGCTGTAGACCCAGGACTGAGGCTCTAGACCCAGGACCGAGGCTGTAGACCCAGGACTGAGGCTGTAGACCCAGGACTGAGGCTGTAGACCCAGGACTGAGGCTGTGGACTGAGGCCGTAGACCCAGGACTGAGGCTGTAGACCCAGGACTGAGGCTGTAGACCCAGGACTGAGACTGTAGACCCAGGACTGAGGCTGTAGACCCAGGACTGAGGCTCTAGACCCAGGACTGAGACTGTAGACCCAGGACTGAGGCTGTAGACCCAGGACTGAGGCTGTAGACCCAGGACTGAGACTGTAGACCCAGGACTGAGGCTGTAGACCCAGGACTGAGGCTCTAGACCCAGGACCGAGGCTGTAGACCCAGGACTGAGGCTGTAGACCCAGGACTGAGACTGTAGACCCAGGACTGAGGCTGTAGACCCAGGACTGAGGCTCTAGACCCAGGACCGAGGCTGTAGACCCAGGACTGAGGCTGTAGACCCAGGACTGAGGCTGTAGACCCAGGACTGAGGCTGTAGACCCAGGACTGAGGCTGTAGACCCAGGACTGAGACTGTAGACCCAGGACCGAGGCTGTAGACCCAGGACCGAGGCTGTAGACCCAGGACTGAGGCTGTAGACCCAGGACTGAGGCTGTAGACCCAGGACTGAGGCTCTAGACCCAGGACCGAGGCTGTAGACCCAGGACTGAGGCTGTAGACCCAGGACTGAGGCTGTAGACCCAGGACTGAGGCTGTAGACCCAGGACTGAGGCTGTAGACCCAGGACTGAGGCTGTAGACCCAGGACTGAGGCTCTAGACCCAGGACCGAGGCTGTAGACCCAGGACCGAGGCTGTAGACCCAGGACTGAGGCTGTAGACCCAGGGCTAAGGCTGTAGACCCAGGACTGAGGCTGTAGACCCAGGGCTAAGGCTGTAGACCCAGGACTGAGGCTGTAGACCCAGGACCGATTTATTTACTAGTTTATCTAAAGTAATACAATTTAATAATAAAAATAATGTATTTGGACAAAACTTACCTCAAAATAAAAATACAAAAAGCAAAACCTTCATGAAGAAAACAGCTGTGGCCCTGAACCTCTGCAGTCTCTGGACCCGTGTAGATGGTTCACCTCCAGGGTCAGAGACGGGATCTGAGTGACACACACACATATATACAGACACACACACATATATACACACACATATATATACAGACACACACATATATATACAGACACACACATATATACAGACACACACACACATATATACAGACACACACATATATATATACAGACACACATATATACAGACACACACACACATATATACAGACACACACATATATATACAGACACACACACATATACAGACACACACACATATATACAGACACACACATATATACAGACACACACACATATATATATACACACACACATATACAGACACATATATATATATACACACTCTCTCCTCTCAGCAAGAAGGTCCTGGGTTCGAATCCAGGTCGGTCCAGGGCCTTTTTGAGTGGAGTTTGCATGTTCTCCCCGTGTCTGTGTAGGTTTCCTCCGGGTGCTCCGGTTTCCCCTACCACTAAAAACATGTCCAATAGTTCTGTGCCTCCTGCACTGGCCCCTCCCATCTCTGTGTCAGAGACTAATGCCCAAAAATAACATTTGTAAACCGCTTTGACTCTGGTCTGCAGTGAAAAGGCGCTATATAAATAAATATTACTTACTTACTTACACACATATACAGACACACATTTATACACACACACATATATATACACACACATACAGACACACACACACAGGTTTATTGCTCTTATGAGGTCATGACGTGGAGCAGCTAAAAGATGACGCACTGATGACTGTGAAGCTGATCCCAGAGACCAGAGGTGGAGGACCAGGGGGAGGACCAGGGGGAGGACCAGGGGAGGACCAGGGGAGGACCAGGGGAGGACCAGGGGGAGGACCAGGGGGAGGACCAGGGGGGGAGGACCAGGGGGAGGACCAGGGGGAGGACCAGGGGGAGGACCAGGGGGGAGGACCAGGGGGGAGGACCAGGGGGGGAGGACCAGGGGGGGAGGACCAGGGGGGGAGGACCAGGGGGAGGACCAGGGGGAGGACCAGGGGGAGGACCAGGGGAGGACCAGGGGGAGGACCAGGGGGAGGACCAGGGGGAGGACCAGGGGGGGAGGACCAGGGGGAGGACCAGGGGGAGGACCAGGGGGAGGACCAGGGGAGGACCAGGGGAGGACCAGGGGAGGACCAGGGGGAGGACCAGGGGGAGGACCAGGGGGAGGACCAGGGGGGGAGGACCAGGGGGAGGACCAGGGGGAGGACCAGGGGGGAGGACCAGGGGGGAGGACCAGGGGGGGAGGACCAGGGGGGAGGACCAGGGGGGAGGAGGTGGGGGCTGTGTCTCTGGTGCCTGCTGCAGTGAGAACCAGGTGGGGGCTGTGTCTCTGGTGCCTGCTGCAGTGAGAACCAGGTGGGGGCTGCGTCTCTGGTGCCTGCTGCAGTGAGAACCAGGTGGAGGCTGTGTCTCTGGTGCCTGCTGCAGTGAGAACCAGGTGGGGGCTGTGTCTCTGGTGCCTGCTGCAGTGAGAACCAGGTGGGGGCTGTGTCTCTGGTGCCTGCTGCAGTGAGAACCAGGTGGGGGCTGCGTCTCTGGTGCCTGCTGCAGTGAGAACCAGGTGGGGGCTGTGTGTCTCTGGTGCCTGCTGCAGTGAGAACCAGGTGGAGGCTGCGTCTCTGGTGCCTGCTGCAGTGAGAACCAGGTGGGGGCTGCGTCTCTGGTGCCTGCTGCAGTGAGAACCAGGTGGAGGCTGTGTCGCTGGTGCCTGCTGCAGTGAGAACCAGGTGGAGGCTGTGTCTCTGGTGCCTGCTGCAGTGAGAACCAGGTGGGGGCTGTGTCTCTGGTGCCTGCTGCAGTGAGAACCAGGTGGGGGCTGCGTCTCTGGTGCCTGCTGCAGTGAGAACCAGGTGGAGGCTGTGTCGCTGGTGCCTGCTGCAGTGAGAACCAGGTGGAGGCTGTGTCTCTGGTGCCTGCTGCAGTGAGAACCAGGTGGGGGCTGTGTCTCTGGTGCCTGCTGCAGTGAGAACCAGGTGGGGGCTGCGTCTCTGGTGCCTGCTGCAGTGAGAACCAGGTGGAGGCTGTGTCTCTGGTGCCTGCTGCAGTGAGAACCAGGTGGGGGCTGTGTCTCTGGTGCCTGCTGCAGTGAGAACCAGGTGGGGGCTGTGTCTCTGGTGCCTGCTGCAGTGAGAACCAGGTGGGGGCTGTGTCTCTGGTGCCTGATGAGCTGATGGAGCGTGTCCTTGACCCTTGACCTTCGCTCTCGCTGTGAAAGGATCTGAGCTCGGTGTGTTTTAAAACACCACAATCTTCTCATGAATCTGCATTTATACAAATCCACACAACAACAGCAAAAGTCTTTCAGAAACATGTGCGGGTCTCGGGTTTATCCCAAAGTGCGGTTCTGACGTGAGGTTCAGAGGTGACGCTGTGGAGAATGTTTTTATTCTTTAACTCTGTCTCTTTCACTGAAACACATGCCTTTAAAACATGTACAATAGCTCCAACAGCTTCAACAAGAGCACTTCTCTGTCTGTCTGCATTGAGCTAGCAGGTTAGCATTGAGCTAACAGGTTAGCATTGAGCTAGCAGGTTAGCATTGAGCTAGCAGGTTAGCATTGAGCTAGCAGGTTAGCATTGAGCTAGCAGGTTAGCATTGAGCTAGCAGGTTAGCATTGAGCTAGCAGGTTAGCATTGAGCTAACAGGTTAGCATTGAGCTAGCAGGTTAGCATTGAGCTAGCAGGTTAGCATTGAGCTAACAGGTTAGCATTGAGCTAGCAGGTTACCATTGAGCTAACAGGTTAGCATTGAGCTAGCAGGTTAGCATTGAGCTAGCAGGTTAGCATTGAGCTAGCAGGTTAGCATTGTGCATCTGTGTACAGTCTGTGGGTCAAACAAATTTATAGCCATTTGTTAGACCAGAGAGAGACCAGAGAGAGACCAGAGAGAGACCAGAGAGAGACCAGAGAGAGACCAGAGAGAGACCAGAGAGAGACCAGAGAGAGACCAGAGAGAGACCAGAGAGAGACCAGAGAGAGACCAGAGAGAGAGACCAGAGAGAGACCAGAGAGAGACCAGAGAGAGACACCAGAGAGAGACCAGAGAGAGACCAGAGAGAGACCAGAGAGAGAGACCAGAGAGAGACCAGAGAGAGACCAGAGAGAGACCAGAGAGAGAGACCAGAGAGAGACCAGAGAGAGACCAGAGAGACCAGAGAGAGACCAGAGAGAGACCAGAGAGAGACCAGAGAGAGACCAGAGAGAGACCAGAGAGAGACCAGAGAGAGACCAGAGAGAGAGACCAGAGAGAGAGACCAGAGAGAGACCAGAGAGAGACCAGAAAGAGACCAGAGAGAGACCAGAGAGAGACCAGAGAGAGAGACCAGAGAGAGAGACCAGAGAGAGAGACCAGAGAGAGAGACCAGAGAGAGAGACCAGAGAGAGACCAGAGAGAGACCAGAGAGAGAGACCAGAGAGAGACCAGAGAGAGACCAGAGAGAGACCAGAGAGACCAGAGAGAGAGACCAGAGAGAGAGACCAGAAAGAGAGACCAGAAAGAGAGACCAGAGAGAGAGACCAGAGGGAGAGACCAGAGGGAGAGACCAGAGGGAGAGACCAGAGGGAGAGACCAGAGAGAGAGACCAGAGAGAGACCAGAGAGAGACCAGAGAGAGACCAGAGAGAGACCAGAGAGAAACTAGAGAGACCAGAGAGAGACCAGAGAGAAACCTAGAGAGACCAGAGAGAGACCAGAGAGAGACCAGAGAGAGACCAGAGAGAGACCAGAGAGAGACCAGAGAGAGAGACCAGAGAGAGACCAGAGAGAGACCAGAGAGAGACCAGAGAGAGACCAGAGAGAGAGACCAGAGAGAGAGAGACCAGAGAGAGACCAGAGAGAGAGAGACCAGAGAGAGATGTGTAGTTATATGTTAGCATCTGTACATTAGCAGCAGTATGTTTACAACTGTATATTGGCAGCTGTGCACATTCTGGTATGAGGTAAGGATATGGCAACGATGCGAGAATTACACTAGAATCAAGTTGGCAGTGTCTATTGGTCCTTATTGTTTGTTGTACAGTCTGACAGCAGCAGGAAGGAAAGACCTACGGAACCTCTCCTTCACACAGCGAGGGTGAATTAGTCTGTCACTGAAGCTGCTCTCCAGAGCAGAGAGAGTGTCCTGCAGGGGGCGACAGTCATGGTCCAGCATAGATGTTAGTTTGCTCAGGACCCTCCTGTCCCCCACCTGCTGCACTGTGTCCAGGGAACAGCCCAGGACTGAGCTGGACTTCCTGATGTTCCAGCTTCTTCCTGTCCCTCTCTGTGATGCTGCTGTTCCAGCAGACCACACCGTACAAGAGGCTCCACCACAGAGTCATAGAAGGTCTTCAGGAGTGGCCCCTGCACTCCAAAAGACCTGAGCCTCCTCAGCAGGTAGAGCCGGCTCTGGCCCTTCTTGAAGAGGGCGTCTGTGTTATGAGTCCAGTCCAGTTTGTGGTTCAGATGAACACCCAGGTACTTGTAAGAGTCCACTCTCTCGATGTCCTTTCCCTGGATGTTCACTGGAGCTGGAGCGGCAGAGTGACGTCTACGGAAATCCACCACCATCTCCTTGGTCTTCCTCACGTTGATGAGGAGGTGGTTCATCTCCTTGGTCTTCCTCACGTTGATGAGGAGGTGGTTCATGTCCTTGGTCTTCCTCACGTTGATGAGGAGGTGGTTCATGTCCTTGGTCTTCCTCACGTTGATGAGGAGGTGGTTCATCTCCTTGGTCTTCCTCACGTTGATGAGGAGGTGGTTCATCTCCTTGGTCTTCCTCACGTTGATGAGGAGGTGGTTCATCTCCTTGGTCTTCCCCGCGTTGATGAGGAGGTGGTTCATCTCCTTGGTCTTCCTCACGTTGATGAGGAGGTGGTTCATCTCCTTGGTCTTCCTCACGTTGATGAGGAGGTGGTTCATCTCCTTGGTCTTCCCCGCGTTGATGAGGAGGTGTTTCATCTCCTTGGTCTTCCTCACGTTGATGAGGAGGTGGTTCATCTCCGTGGTCTTCCTCGCGTTGATGAGGAGGTGGTTCATCTCCTTGGTCTTCCTCGCGTTGATGAGGAGGTGGTTCATCTCCGTGGTCTTCCTCGCGTTGATGAGGAGGTGGTTCATCTCCTTGGTCTTCCTCACGTTGATGAGGAGGTGGTTCATCTCCTTGGTCTTCCCCGCGTTGATGAGGAGGTGGTTCATCTCCTTGGTCTTCCCTGCGTTGATGAGGAGGTGGTTCATCTCCTTGGTCTTCCTCACGTTGATGAGGAGGTGGTTCATCTCCTTGGTCTTCCCTGCGTTGATGAGGAGGTGGTTCATCTCCTTGGTCTTCCTCGCGTTGATGAGGAGGTGGTTCATCTCCGTGGTCTTCCCCGCGTTGATGAGGAGGTGGTTCATCTCCTTGGTCTTCCCCGTGTTGATGAGGAGGTGGTTCATCTCCTTGGTCTTCCCTGCGTTGATGAGGAGGTGGTTCATCTCCTTGGTCTTCCCCGCGTTGATGAGGAGGTGGTTCATCTCCTTGGTCTTCCTCGCGTTGATGAGGAGGTGGTTCATCTCCTTGGTCTTCCTCGCGTTGATGAGGAGGTGGTTCATCTCCGTGGTCTTCCCCGCGTTGATGAGGAGGTGGTTCATCTCCGTGGTCTTCCCCGCGTTGATGAGGAGGTGGTTCATCTCCTTGGTCTTCCTCACGTTGATGAGGAGGTGGTTCATCTCCTTGGTCTTCCTCGCGTTGATGAGGAGGTGGTTCCTCTGACATCAGTCCACAAAGTCCTGTATAAGTCCTCTGTACTCTGTGTCATCGTCCTCGGAGCTGAGTCCGATGATGGCAGAGTCGTCAGAGAACTTCTGTAGAACACAACCGTCCGTGTTGTGTCTGAAGTCCGCAGTGTAGAGGGTGAAGAGGAACGGCGCGAGGACAGTTCCCTGGGGGGCCCCCACACTGCAGGTCAGGACCTCAGACACAAAGTCCCTGGTTCTCACAAACTGGGGTCTGTCTGTGAGGTAGTCCAGGATCCACTGGGACAGGTCGTAGTCCACTCCAGCTGTCTCCATCTTGTCCCTGAGAAGCCTCGGCTGGATGGTGTTGAAGGCACTGGAGAAATCAAAGAAGAGGATCCTCACAGTGGAGCCGGGTTTCTCCAGGTGGGACAGGGAGCGATGGAGGAGGGAGATGATGGCGTCCTTGACTCCGATGCCCGGCCTGTAGGCGAACTGCAGCGGGTCCATCGCTGGGCTCAGAGTGGAGCGGAGATGTCCCAGGACCAGTCTCTCCAGTGTCTTCATGCAGTGGGATGTTAGAGCCACTGGCCTGAAGTCGCTGAGGTCTTTGGCCCGTGGTTTCTTGGGCACCGGTACCACATGGACCAGAGAGAGACCAGAGAGAGACCAGAGAGAGACCAGAGAGAGACCAGAAAAAAGGCACTTTATCTGTAGATAAAGGTGTTGTGTGGCAGTGATATAATGAAACTAATAAATTAAACCTTAGTAAATTGAGGGACCAGAGTATGAGGAAACTTAAGAAAAGTCTGCAAAGCATTTAGGAGGAAAACTTAAAACCTAAAAGACACAAACAAATAATAAAGTAGTTGAGGTGAGTAGATAGAATATATGGATATGGTTAGAGTGTGAAGCAGCTGCACACAGAGCTGACCTCTCTCTGCTTCAGTGGAAATGATTTCTGGCCTTATCAAAGCCTCAGCGTGTCCAGCGTCCGCTCCATCCTGTTCCCTCTGACGGATGGCTGTGCCTGGGGTCCTGCCGCTATCTCCTCATCTGCTCAAGGCTGACGCAGCACCCCCCCTCCTCCCCAAAAACAAACCGGCTCTGAACTCCCGTCAGACAGAGTCAAGGCTGCCACTCTGCTCCGAGACGCAGAGGCTGGAGCCATTGTTTTACTCTGGCACTGGTCTCGCACTGGTCTCGCACTGGTCTCGCACTGGTCTCGCACTGGTCTCGCACTGGTCTCGCACTGGTCTTGCACTGGTCTCGCACTGGTCTCGCACTGGTCTTGCACTGGTCTCGCACTGGTCTCGCACTGGTCTGGCACTGGTCTTGCACTGGTCTCGCACTGGTCTCGCACTGGTCTCGCACTGGTCTCACACTGGTCTTGCACTGGTCTCGCACTGGTCTGGCACTGGTCTCACACTGGTCTCGCACTGGTCTCGCACTGGTCTCGCACTGGTCTCGCACTGGTCTCACACTGGTCTCGCACTGGTCTGGCACTGGTCTCACACTGGTCTCGCACTGGTCTCGCACTGGTCTCGCACTGGTCTCACACTGGTCTCGCACTGGTCTTGCACTGGTCTCGCACTGGTCTCGCACTGGTCTCACACTGGTCTCGCACTGGTCTTGCACTGGTCTCGCACTGGTCTCACGCTCGTCTCACTCTCGTCTCACACTCGTCTCGTCTCACTCTCGTCTCACACTCGTCTCGTCTCACTCTCGTCTCACACTCGTCTCGTCTCACACTCGTCTCGTCTCACTCTCGTCTCACACTCGTCTCGTCTCACTCTCGTCTCACACTCGTCTCGTCTCACTCTCGTCTCACACTCGTCTCGTCTCACGCTCGTCTCACACTCGTCTCGTCTCACGCTCGTCTCACTCTCGTCTCACACTCGTCTCGTCTCTCTCTCGTCTCACACTCGTCTCATCTCACTCTCGTCTCACACTCGTCTAGTCTCACTCTCGTCTCACACTCGTCTAGTCTCACTCTCGTCTCACACTCGTCTCGTCTCACTCTCGTCTCACACTCGTCTCGTCTCACTCTCGTCTCACACTCGTCTAGTCTCACTCTCGTCTCACACTCGTCTCGTCTCACTCTCGTCTCACACTCGTCTAGTCTCACTCTCGTCTCACACTCGTCTCGTCTCACTCTCGTCTCACACTCGTCTAGTCTCACTCTCGTCTCACACTCGTCTCGTCTCACTCTCGTCTCACACTCGTCTAGTCTCACTCTCGTCTCACACTCGTCTCGTCTCACTCTCGTCTCACACTCGTCTAGTCTCACTCTCGTCTCACTCTTGTCTCGTATCACACTTGTCTCACTCTTGTCTCGTATCACACTTTTGTCACTCTTGTCTCGTCTCACACTCTTTAAACTCTTTAGAGAGCTTTAAACAAGGTGCTCCGCTCTGCAAAGAGGACCGTGGGCTGTGAGCTTCCTGTTCTGGAGGTTCTTTATAAATCCAGACTTTTAAACAAAGCTCTTAGGATTGTTAATGACTCTTCTGGCCACCCTGGGAAAGCCATGTTCCAGCTTCTTCCCTCTGGCAGAAGATATCGCTCTCTGAGATGCAGGACATCTCGTTACGCTAACAGTTTTTATCCACAGGCTGTTATCAGTGTGAACAGAGCACTTTAATGATTTGCACTTGTTTTGAAACTGTTTTAGTCGATCCATTTCACAGTGACATTTGTTTACTGTTTTATTTGTTTTATTTCTGTCTTTTAATGTTGTTTTATGTCTGTATTTGTCTGTGCACACTGGAGACTTTTGCTAATGTATTCCAATGTGGTTTTACTGCAAATGGCAAATAAACTGAATCTGAATCTGAATCACACTCGTCTCACACACAGAGATACACATACATATGCACATTAACACGTTAGCATTAACACGTTAGCATTAACACGTTAGCATTAACACGTTAGCATTAACACGTTAGCATTAACACGTTAGCATTAACACGTTAGCATTGACACGTTAGCATTGACACGTTAGCATTGGCACAGACATGGTCCAAACCAAGTGGATCATGTGACAATCCACTGGAGGAATGCTAACTTGCTACTGTGACCCGTCCTGCTCCACCCAGAGGCTACTCCACCTCTGCTGCTGTGACCTGTCCTGCTCCACCCAGAGGCTACTCCACCTCTGCTGCTGTGACCTGTCCTGCTCCACCCAGAGGCTACTCCACCTCTGCTGCTGTGACCTGTCCTGCTCCACCCAGAGGCTACACCACCTCTGCTGCTGTGACCCGTCCTGCTCCACCCAGAGGCTACTCCACCTCTGCTGCTGTGACCCGTCCTGCTCCACCCAGAGACTACTCCACCTCTGCTGCTGTGACCCGTCCTGCTCCACCCAGAGGCTACTCCACCTCTGCTGCTGTGACCCGTCCTGCTCCACCCAGAGGCTACTCCACCTCTGCTGCTGTGACCCGTCCTGCTCCACCCAGAGGCTACTCCACCTCTGCTGCTGTGACCCGTCCTGCTCCACCCAGAGGCTACTCCACCTCTGCTGCTGTGACCCGTCCTGCTCCACCCAGAGGCTACTCCACCTCTGCTGCTGTGACCTGTCCTGCTCCACCCAGAGACTACTCCACCTCTGCTGCTGTGACCCGTCCTGCTCCACCCAGAGGCTACTCCACCTCTGCTGCTGTGACCCGTCCTGCTCCACCCAGAGACTACTCCACCTCTGCTGCTGTGACCCGTCCTGCTCCACCCAGAGGCTACTCCACCTCTGCTGCTGTGACCCGTCCTGCTCCACCCAGAGGCTACTCCACCTCTGCTGCTGTGACCCGTCCTGCTCCACCCAGAGGCTACTCCACCTCTGCTGCTGTGACCTGTCCTGCTCCACCCAGAGGCTACTCCACCTCTGCTGCTGTGACCTGTCCTGCTCCACCCAGAGGCTACTCCACCTCTGCTGCTGTGACCCGTCCTGCTCCACCCAGAGGCTACTCCACCTCTGCTGCTGTGACCCGTCCTGCTCCACCCAGAGGCTACTCCACCTCTGCTGCTGTGACCCGTCCTGCTCCACCCAGAGGCTACTCCACCTCTGCTGCTGTGACCCTCCTGCTCCACCCAGAGGCTACTCCACCTCTGCTGCTGTGACCCGTCCTGCTCCACCCAGAGGCTACTCCACCTCTGCTGCTGTGACCTGAGGCTGTTGCTGATTGTTTCTATTGTTATCTTTTTAGAATGGTCTGTCTGTCTCTCTGTCTCTCTGGTCTGTCTGTCTCTCTGTCTCTCTGTCTGTCTGTCTCTCTGTCTCTCTGTCTCTCTGTCTGTCTGTCTCTCTGTCTGTCTGTCTCTCTGTCTGTCTGTCTCTCTGTCTCTCTGTCTGTCTGTCTCTCTGTCTGTCTGTCTCTCTGTCTCTCTGTCTCTCTGTCTGTCTGTCTCTCTGTCTCTCTGTCTCTCTGTCTGTCTGTCTCTCTGTCTGTCTGTCTCTCTGTCTCTCTGTCTGTCTGTCTCTCTGTCTCTCTGTCTGTCTGTCTGTCTGTCTCTCTGTCTGTCTGTCTCTCTGTCTCTCTGTCTGTCTGTCTCTCTGTCTCTCTGTCTCTCTGTCTGTCTGTCTCTCTGTCTCTCTGTCTCTCTGTCTGTCTGTCTCTCTGTCTCTCTGTCTCTCTGTCTCTCTGTCTCTCTGTCTGTCTGTCTCTCTGTCTCTCTGTCTGTCTGTCTCTCTGTCTCTCTGTCTCTCTCTCTAGTCGTCTAATGTCGCAGGACTGCAGCAGGGGCACTACAGACACAGGGAGAACATGCAACGTCTACAGACAGACCTTCTGAAAGCTCTGGGTTCGAGTCCACTTGCAGACAGTGTGGAGTTTGCATGTTCTCCCTGTGCCTGTGAAGGTTTCCTCCAGGTGCACCGATTTCTCTTACCACTAAACACATGTAGAATAGTCTCTGGTCTCCAGAGGGACTTTCCTGCTAAAACAAAGGTCAAGTTTAAAGGAAAAGGAAGTGACAGGAGGGATTTTAGAAGCAGCCGAAGTCTCCTGCTTCTGATTGTTTTATCAAACAGAAGAAAAGCAGTCGTTATCAGAGAAGAATACAGACATAATGTACTTTATTTATATATAACACTGCTTTATCTATATATAACACTCCTCCTCTCCTCCTTCTCCTCTTTTCCTCCTGTCTCTCCTCCTCCTTCTCCTCTCTTCCTCCTGTCTCCTCCTCCTCTCTTCCTCCTGTCTCTCCTCCTCCTTCTCCTCTCTTCCTCCTGTCTCTCTTCCTCCTGTCTCCTCCTCCTCTCTTCCTCCTGTCTCTCCTCCTCCTTCTCCTCTCTTCCTCCTGTCTCTCTTCCTCCTGTCGCCTCCTCCTCTCTTCCTCCTGTCTCTCCTCCTCCTTCTCCTCTCTTCCTCCTGTCTCTCCTCCTCCTTCTCCTCTCTTCCTCCTGTCTCTCCTCCTCCTTCTCCTCTCTTCCTCCTGTCTCCTCCTCCTCTCCTCTCCTTCTCCTCTCTTCCTCCTGTCTCCTCCTCCTCTCCTCTCCTTGTCCTCTCCTTCTCCTGTCTCCTCTCCTCCTCCACTCCTCTCCTGTCTCCTCCTCCCCTCCTCCTCCTCCTGGCCTCCTGCTGTATGTTAGCGTCAGCTGGAGCAGGAGTCAAGGCTGTATCTCTCGGTGACGTGCCTCAGGCTCGTGCTCAGAGCTCGTCCACACTCCGGGAGCGTGTCTCTCAGGTGTGGTCCTGCCCCTCCTCACCTCTCCTCCCCCTCTCTCCCCCATGTCCCCCCTCTCCCCCCTCTCCCCTTGACCCGCTGGGGACAGGAGGCTGATAACAGGACCCCCCACCCCTCTGCTCATTCCTCACCCCTGTCCAACTGACACACTTCCAGACGGGATAACCTTGTTCTGCTGCCTCTGCACCCTCTGCCTGGAGAGGAGGAGAGAAGGAGGAGGAGAGGAGGAAGATGAGAGAAGGATGAGGAGGAAGAGAAGGAGGAGGAGGAGGAGAGGAGGAGGAGGAAGAGGAGAGGAGGAGGAGGAGGAGAGGAGGAGGAGGAGAGGAGGAGGAGGAAGAGGAGGAGAAGGAGGGGGAGACAGGAGCGGAAGAGGAGGAAAAGAGTTGGAGGAGAGAAGGAGAGGAGGAGAGGAGTATAGGAGAGAAAGAGGAGGAAGAGAGAAGGAGGAGGAGACAGGAGAAGGAGAGGAGAGGAGGCGGTGGAGGAGACAGTCCCCAGGAGGACACCGAAAGAAAACAGACTAGAATCAGTAATAAAAGTCTCACTTGTGAAACAGAATGTTATGCCGCTTTTCCACTGTAACGGTACGGTACGGTACGGTACGGTACGGTACGGTACGGTACGAAGCGGTGCGGTGCGGTGCGGTACGGTACGGTGCGGTGCGGTGCGGTGCGGTACGGTACGGTGCGGTGCGGTGCGGTGCGGTACGGTACGGTGCGGTGCGGTGCGGTGCGGTGCGGTGCGGTGCGGTGCGGTGCGGTGCGGTGCGGTGCGGTGCGGTGCGGTGCGGTGCGGTACGGTACGGTGCGGTGCGGTACGGTGCGGTGCGGTGCGGTGCGGTGCGGTGCGGTACGGTGCGGTGCGGTGCGGTGCGGTGCGGTGCGGTGCGGTGCGGTGCGGTGCGGTGCGGTGCGGTGCGGTGCGGTGCGGTGCGGCGGTACGGTGCGGTGCGGTGCGGTGCGGTGCGGTGCGGTGCGGTACGGTGCGGTGCGGCCGTGTGCAGGTGCTTTTCCATTAAAAGTAGTACCTCTTCAGCGTGGGAGGCGCGACGTGTAACCAGTAACATTGTTGCGGTGCATGAATTAATTATAATATCAGGGTTAGCTGGTTATTACCTCCTGCTTACCCCCTGTAGTACTGACTATTACCTCCAGGGGGCTCCTCTTACCCCCTGTAGTACTGACCATTACCTCCAGGGGAAGTCGAGCAGAGACCTGAGATAAAAAATATTTCCTCGTCTGACTAGTGTCACACACACACACACACATACATATACAGATACACACACACACACACACACACTCACACACATACACACACACACAGACACATACACTCACACACACACACACACACACACATACAGACACACATACAGACACACACACACAGACACACATACAGACACACACACACACACACATACAGACACATACACACACACACACACATACATACACATACACACACACATACACTCACACACATACACACACACACATACACACACACAAACATACACACATACACGCACACACACACACACACACACACACACACACACGCACGCACACACACACACACACACACACACACACACACACACACGCACACTCCTCTGACTCCAACACTTGATCCAGGCCCATTCTGCTGCTGCTATCGTGCAGCTTCTCGACTCTCACTATGAAATGAAAATGACAATGACCTCTGACCCCTGCGGCGCCATTGAGAGGTGTGCGTTCTCTGTGTGTTGTGCGTCTACACTGGGACATGTGACCTGTGTGGTATTAGCAGCTCAAGTGTGTTTTAGGCATTCAGCGAAACAATCTTTGTGAGTATCTGAATCCTTTAGTCTAATGGGGTCAGCCGGACCACGAGCGGCCGCTCTCCTGTGAGGCGGCGGCCGGCTCCAGCGTGATCAGAACGAGCACAAAAGCCTCGCGCTGGGTTTTAATTGAGTTCACATTCTGTGTTTTGACAGTAAATGTATTCAGCCGCTCGGGTAAAAGCACCTTTTATGACGGCTAATTACAACTAGTCACCGCGGCCTTGAGCCTCAATGCAGCCCTGGCATAAATCTGCTCCTCCACATCTGGGCTGCGGCAACACACTCATATACACTGATACACACCATGACACACACCATGATACACTATGATACACACCATGACACACAATGATACACACCATGACACACACCACGACACACACCATGACACACCATGATACACTATGATACACACCATGACACACACCATGACACACCATGACACACCATGATACACTATGATACACACCATGACACACAATGATACACACCATGATACACACCACTACACACACCATGACACACCATGATACACACCATGACACACAAGGATACACTATGATACACACCATGACACACAATGATACACACCATGATACACACCATGACACACACCACGACACACACCATGACACACCATGATACACAATGACACACACCATGACACACACCATGACACACACCATGACACACAATGATACACTATGATACACACCATGACACACAATGATACACTATGATACACACCATGACACACAATGACACACACCATGACACACACCACGACACACACCATGACACACCATGATACACTATGATACACACCATGACACACAATGATACACACCATGATACACACCACGACACACACCATGACACACCATGATACACAATGACACACACCATGACACACACCATGACACACCATGATACACACCACGACACACACCATGACACACCATGATACACAATGACACACACCATGACACACACCATGACACACACCATGACACACCATGATACACACCATGACACACAATGATACACACCATGATACACACCACGACACACACCATGACACACCATGATACACACCATGACACACAAGGATACACTATGATACACACCATGACACACAATGATACACACCATGATACACACCATGACACACCATGATACACAATGACACACACCATGACACACACCATGACACACACCATGACACACCATGATACACACCATGACACACCATGATACACTATGATACACACCATGACACACAATGATACACACCATGATACACACCACGACACACACCATGACACACCATGATACACAATGACACACACCATGACACACACCATGACACACACCATGACACACCATGATACACACCATGACACACCATGATACACTATGATACACACCATGACACACAATGACACACACCATGACACACACCATGACACACAATGATACACACCATGATACACACCATGACACACACCACGACACACACCATGACACACCATGATACACAATGACACACACCATGACACACACTATGATACACACCATGACACACAATGATACACACCATGACACACACCACTACACACACCATGACACACCATGATACACTATGATACACACCATGACACACAATGATACACACCATGACACACACCACGACACACACCATGACACACCATGATACACTATGATACACACCATGACACACAATGATATACACCACGATACACACCACGATACACACAATGATACACACCATAACACACAATGATACACACCATGACACACAATGATACACTATGATACACACCATGACACACAATGATACACACCATGACACACAATGATACACTATGATACACACCATGACACACAATGATACACACCATGACACACACCATGACACACACCACGACACACACCATGACACACCATGATACACACCATGACACACAATGATACACTATGATACACACCATGACACACAATGATACACTATGATACACACCATGACACACAATGATACACACCATGACACACCACGATACACACCATGACACACCATGATACACACCATGACACACAATGATACACACAATGATACACACCATGACACACCATGATACACAATGATACACACCATGACACACACCATGACACACCATGATACACACCATGACACACAATGATACACACCACGATACACACCATGACACACATGATGACACACAATGATACACAACATGACACACAATGATACACACCACGATACACACCATGATACACACCCTGACACACAATGATACACACCATGATACACACCATGACACACAATGATACACACCATGACACACAATAATACACACCACGATACACACCATGACACACAAGAATACACACCACGATACACACCATGATACACACCATGATACACTATGATACACACCATGACACACAATGATACACACCATGATACACACCACGACACACACCATGACACACCATGATACACAATGACACACACCATGACACACACCATGACACACCATGATACACACCACGACACACACCATGACACACCATGATACACAATGACACACACCATGACACACACCATGACACACCATGATACACACCATGACACACAATGATACACACCATGATACACACCACGACACACACCATGACACACCATGATACACACCATGACAGACAAGGATACACTATGATACACACCATGACACACAATGATACACACCATGATACACACCATGACACACACCACGACACACACCATGACACACCATGATACACAATGACACACACCATGACACACACCATGACACACACCATGACACACCATGATACACACCGTGACACACCTTGATACACTATGATACACACCATGACACACAATGATACACACCATGATACACACCACGACACACACCATGACACACCATGATACACAATGACACACACCATGACACACACCATGACACACCATGATACACACCATGACACACCATGATACACTATGATACACACCATGACACACAATGACACACACCATGACACAAAACCATGACACACACCATGACACACAATGATACACACCATGACACACAATGATACACACCATGATACACACCATGACACACACCACGACACACACCATGACACACCATGATACACAATGACACACACCATGACACACACTATGATACACACCATGACACACAATGATACACACCATGACA